TTGGGATCGGGGCTAGAAGGGGGTTGGGATTGGGGTTAGAGCTGGAATTGGGGCTGGGATTTGAGATAGGGCTAAATCTGGGACTGGGGTTAGGACTGGAACTGGGGTCAAGGCTAAATGTGGGATTAGGGTGAGGGGTGGGGTTGGGATCAGGGCTAGAATTGGGGGCTGGAGTGTGAGTTAGGGATAAATGTGGGATTGGTGTTAGGGCTGGGGTTGGGGCTGGAACTGGGGTTGGAGTTGGAGTTAGGAACAAATGTGGAATTTGGTTTAGAGCTGGGGTTGGGTTTAGAGCTGGGACTGAGGTCAAGGCTAAATACGAGATTAGGGTTAGAGGTGTGGTTGGGATGGGAGCAGGAGCTCGGCTTGAGCCTGAGATAAGATTAAATACAGGACTAAGTGTGTCCAAACCTGGACTGAGACTAAGATCAGGGTTAGGATTAGGGTTGGATTTGGGACTAAGTGCTCCCAGTTCCGAGTGTTCCCAGCTCCAGGTGTTCCCAGTTCCCGGCAATGAGGCTGGAGCAGAGAGATTTCTCTCAACAATTTTTCTTGGCCTTGCCTGCCACGACTTTAGAAGAGACAAGCGGTGTGATGTTTACACTTATAAGCTGTGTGAAAATATGCAATGTTTATACTTGTTAGCCTTGTGTCTATAATTATAAGGTTTGAGAACATAGCATGTTTACAGTAAGAAAGCCTTGAGAAAGTGGAGATAATGAAACACCTGCAGATCTCGGAAAAACCCTAAAGGTGGATCAATAGAAGGAGCTTTGCATGCCAAGCATGATCTTAGGCCTCGTGGACACAGCACCAGGTCCAATAAACTGAGAGCAGGAGGCACGTGCACAGACTGAGCTGTCCAATGGCCCTGTTGTGAGCACGTACCCGGAACAAACCGAACTGTACAAAAGTCAACTGATATAAATAATAAATTGGACATGGCTCTGATCACATCGATCGTCTGCCTTGTCTCTGCTCCTGCCATCAACAAGGCAACCCGAGGAGAGCGCAGTGGGAAGCTGGATCTCACCCTGGAGCAGGTGCAGGGCAGCCTCCAGCAATGGAGAGAGGAGTTTATTCTTCTTATCATCATCATCATCATAACACTCCCCCTTTGGAATGCTCCCCTGTTCTGGCTGTGCTCTCCACAGGCGGAAAAATT